GTGATTACACTTTATAATTTACAAAATAGAATATGGATAACCCGTCAAATTACGTTTTCATTTAGCACCAGTGAATTTCTGCTTAATCATAACAAACCATTTATCTTGCGTCTTACTCCTTAATTGATCACTGTTTTTTTCACTATACTCAAGAAATGTTTCGAAAACGTTTATGGCCAAATGCTTACGGCCTGCGTATCTCTTCTACTCTCGTAAACCATCTTTCGTATCCGTAAAGTAGAAAATAGTAAACTTCTGAGGAGTTTACCCACCCTCAAATAGCTAAACAATCTCATCTACCACACAGGTTGCTAAATCCCTAATAGGCTTACTGAAGTTGTATTTAGATTTAATCACTCATCAACCAACCAGGACTGATGAAACGTGCTATATAAATTAACTAGCCAACAAGTAGAATGACTCGTACTTGGATCACTTGTTACATTCCATACTTCAGTTTTTCTGTTAGTTATTCGTTATGTTTGTCCCAGCTACTCCGTTTGAAGCATCAGCTCATTTTTATTTCTTGAAAAATATTGTGCAAACAGATTCTAGAGAGGTATTATTAATATTTACATACACATCATATACGATATGACACCATAGTTAGTCACTCGTGTTAATAAATACACTTAATTTCCATTGCCCTACTAGTAATTTTACTGCTTAAGTTTTGATGATGATTACATATCCGAAAGCCAACCAATGAAACTAATGGGTATCTCTTATTTCAGGTACTATATACTTTAGCAACTGATGAAGCAGAACGTATTGGTATTGATTATGTTGCACGTATTTCAATGTCATCTACTGATCAGACTTCATCAATGGTAAATCCCTTATATTTCTTTGTAATGTAATAATTTATCAATCTTTAATCACTTATATCACCTAAAACACACACTAACATTAATGTACTAAAACAAATGTTATCTAAATTTCAGCAGTTCAAAAATCCCCATAGGATATCCACAAATGTAGAATATTTGAGCGGGCAATTTTTCGATAAATTCATCGTCAGGTTCTAAAGTTATATACATAAAGTAGATATTCATAGTACATTTCAACGGAAGTTTTCTCGAATAAATCAGTACTTACACAACAAATCAAGGATAGGTTACCGATGATGAGCTCCTTCATGTGTGTATGCCAATCCAACTGCTCCAGTGGAGCTAGTTACATAGGGATTTATTCTTGCATGTTCGTAAAAATGTATCAACATGGTTCAGAAAAGGAGTTACTAAATCGGTCAACAGTACTGTTCTTTCTCACTCGGTAGATAGTAAACATCATATCAAAGTAGGGGAAGCTTTCTCTGTTTTATGTAAAGTTTTAAAAAATCTACCTCAAAGAGCTAGATTACGGCTACTCTACATAGCCGAAGCCATCTGGATCAACTCCAGAAAACTGAACTTATGTATCCAGAAAAAAGTATATCCAGCCTCTATGTTTACCTTGACCTACGACTGGATCACCGGATACCTAAACTGAATATTATCAACCTCTTACCAGCTTTTCATTTTTTTATTATATCTATCTTAATCTTCATATCCATCTTTCTCAATTCACATGGACCCTTTTTTATCGTAATCACCTTGATAAAATCCCTCTTATTACTTATTATATTCACAATTGGTTGATCACTGGGTGGTGATCAATATCATGCGTGTCTAGTCCTTATTACTTATTATATTCACACAACGATATCATTATTATTACGATTGCTATTATCATTATTACCTCAACTAACAAGATGAAATCCCCATACTATTCATTTTATTCACATTATTTTTTTCATTCCCACGTTTGCTATATTGCTATTATACTGATTGGGACTTCATACAATTTATGGTATAAGTTCAGAGGGCTTTGTTGGTGTGAAAGTTTTATGTACTTTTGTTGAGAACCTCTAGATCGTTTGGATCCTTAAGTTTTTGTTAAATGTCATTCGGAATTTCATTTAGACACTTATATCGATGGGTTTTATTGAACTTATTTAAAGGATCTTTTGTCAGAACATTGACTAATCTCTATGTTTAATGTGGTGCCTTCTAGCTCGAGATGTGAAGTCATAAAATTTTAGTTCAATGACTCTGTTTAAACATTTTTTTTCATCGATTACTAGTGTATCTCTGTATTTTTATTGTAGACTGCTGAACATTTACTAGGAAATTATCAGGCCATTCAAATGTTAAGTAGTCGCCTTCAGCTAATAAGATCTTATGTCGCAGCTGTTGCAGCAGGAGAATTACCACCGAATAGAGCACGATTAAGGGAGATCAATGCTTTAGTTAAACGAATCCCTTTCATGCCTCCTTCAGCAGCCGAACAAAATGACAATTTGTACCGTCAAGCCAATGATGTTTGTCTGACAGCATTGCTTGCCAGCATAACTCAAGGTTTGCATACACTCTACGGTTGTATGATCAAAACATCTCACGTTATAGATCGCCGATCTATTCCTTTGAGTGTGGGAAGTGGAATTATGGACTCAGGTTCCAGCCGTTTTGCTAAAGTTTCCCACTCAATGGGTAATTCTAATTGAGAAGGCAAAATGTGTATTTTGTGAATAGAGTCAGCTTACGTTATATAAACCGAGAATAGATTTCTGTAGTTGTACATATCGACGTCACAATTTTCTTCGATTCACAATACTCAAGAACCATTTGGATAAAATCATATATTTGATTGTACGTTGGCTTGTATATAATCATATACTGTACTGTGGTAACTTGGACAATTCTATGGCCTTTTTGTTTTTGATTCTGATACATCATTTTTGTCACAGCAGAAATTCATCGTCAATTCATTATTTTACCAATAAATAAAGATGATGAAAACCAGAAAATGTAAATATAGCTAGAATTTAATTCCATATACTAGTGGCTGAAAGTTAAGGGCTAATAATAGTCTCCAAATATTATAGTTGGGCCATCTATTCGCATATTAGTTTGTTGTTATTTCTATTAATAGTTTGAGCTGGCTTCTCACTTATTTCCAAAAAGACTGGGTAATACTATGCTCATCATAGTGTTAACCATGAAATGAATCTTTTCACTTAGATTCAAAATTTATTTCTGTAACAAACAACTTTCTTAAAGTGTTTGGTTCTCACTAAACTAAGTAATCAACAAATATAAATAATTTCAACGGTTGAGATCATGAGTCAATTGAAGATAGACCACCATGGAAAGCCTGGAAGCACTGGACGGCCGTTTCGTCCTAGTATGGGACTCCTCAGAAGTGCGCGAAACGGCCATCCAGTGCTTCCAGGTTTTCCATGGTGGTCGAGCTTCAATTGACTAATGATCTCAACCATTGAAATTCTATAATATCCACAAAACCCTTCAAATATAAATAACTTATATATAACACTGATATTAAATGCTATTAGTTCATTTTCACTTAAGGTGTGCCCAAGATAACTATCGTTTCACATTCTGAAATATATAGCACATTCCAGGATCTTGAATTATCTAGAAAAACCTGTCTATTGAAAATTATCATCTGTTACGACTGTTTGTAAATTTTTCATCATAAAATATAGTTATATATACTAGTAATCTTCACGGGTAAATATTACCGAAAAGTAAACTCTAGATGAATACATTGCTAAATATCTCATTATCTTGGAAAAGTTTTTTCCTCGTATGTAGTCACAGTAGTTGATTTAAAGAGAATCCACAAAAGTAATGTATTCACCTGCCACTCCTTTCGAAATCAACAAATACAGTTTCTTCTATTTCATAGACGAGAAACTTACTAGATGATTACCAGGCTTTAAATTTCCGGATCCTAATGTCTCCGGAACGCTACATGAACATTTCACATTTTGTGTAGATTTTTAGATGAACGTATCAAGAAAACGTTATGTTCTCCGACTTCTCTGTCCAAAATCCACGGATAGAAACAAACAATTCATTTAACCTTCATATTAGTACCAAATAGCGGGAGAGTTATAGAAGTACGTCTGACCATGTTTATGAACACCGTAATCTGCTTTTGTAGTCTCACTGACCCTTTCTACCCACTTTTTTTCGAGTTCTTATGTTTAATGATATGTCCAAAGTCAAAGGCACCAATAATAAGCTAATAACTGTTCTGTTTCCGTAGTTTCTGGAACCCATTATTCCTCTATGGTTGTTTCACCGTTTTGTGTACATAATTCCACACTAATACATAATGATACCTGAGAACTCTTAGTTCGAAATCGGTGTTTTACGTGTGACCATTTATGACTCACTTGGATTTTTATCGTGTACCTTCATAACTCGTTACCTAACTAACTGTATGATAACCCATACCCTCACACTGAGTTTATCGTTTCTGACAGATTTACACATAATTGGTTTTATCTTTATGAAATCAAGCTTGCGAAACCCTTTTACCCAAATCACTCATTTAACTGCAGATCCGACCTGTATTGAATCGTGACCCACATTGATGCGACTTACTGTCATCAATAGATTTTCCTTAACAGTAGTTATTCGTAGTGTCGGGCAAGCAGTCTAACATGTAACCTCACGAAAAGTTGACGCTTTCTGTTGGGTCGTTGGTGGTGAGTGAGATGTCTGTCTTTATAGGCTTTGCGATTGGGTTTAATAGGACTACAAAGTAGAAGAACGTCTCTAGAAGCCGAGTCTATCATTTGATCATAAAATTGACATGCTATTTCAAGTCAAGATAAATTTATTTATCAGTATCAAACTGTACCACACAAGATGAAATCGATTCGTAATATTTTGATTTGTAGTTAAAAATGGATAAACTTTTCTTCGTATAATGCCAACCCTTAACCTGAGAACTTAATGACTTGATATTTTTAATTTCTAACAACGGATTTTACACAATTTCCTTCTCGGAGACAATTTCACGACTAAAAACAATAATTTAGCTTCTATATATCACTGTAATTTGGTGCCGGATAAAAAGATTTAATTGAATTAGAGTTTGTTTAAAAAGTTGGATCATGGTATCAATAAAAACAAAAATCACAAAAGTTTGGGAAACAAATATATAATATTTCTACAATTCTGTGTTTATTTATAAACTAATAACTGTTAGTTAGATCCAAAGATAGGAATTATCGACCTTCCCCAACCTTTTTTAAACTCCCTGTTTCGGAAAATAATTAAAAGAGCGATATCCAATTATCGGTTCACAAATTCTGACTAGAATTTCTAAGTTATGGTATTACAGTTATTAAATCAATTTGAAAATTAAGATGTATCAACTCTGTGATACCAAGAAAGGAAAATCAATGTATACATCCTTCGTTAGGTGATAAGAGACTTTGTTGAAGCGTCAAATATTTTACTTCGCTTTCCGTTAAAACATTTGGTAATCTGTTACAGAGAATCGAAGTTGTTTTAAGCGTTAATATTGATTGGACTCATGACCTTCCTAATACATCTTCAAATTACGTTCTAGCTGTTTTAAAATCCGTAATCTTCAATGTAAAGACTTGACTTAAATATTACTTAGGACATTTCAGTGCAAACAGTAAATAGTCTAATTCATAATAATTCTGACCGTCCTTATCGATTGGTCTGAATCAGTTACATTGAAATCTAAACGACTTTGTGAGTTCATGTTACAAATTGAACGAGGACAGGATTCAAGACAGTTCACTTTAATTACAATACAATTTAGTATTGGAAAGTTGGGAAATACTGCCTTGCTTTTCCTATTTTCACTCAGCAACAACGTAGAACTTCGTATGTACGTACGTACATCAGCTCAAGTTGCCACACCACATTAGCACAAAGATACAATTGTCGATTCAAACCCCATAGTGCTAGATGTAGTAAAATTATAAACTGTAATCAGAAAAATTAGGGTTTGAAGATGTTATTCAAGGAGTATAATCCAGTGAAATAAATTTGGAAAGAGAAAAAAGAAAGGGACATGAAGAATTCAGAAGATTAGAATTTGGGAGAACACAAAAAGTGGATGCACCTGCGCCATTCCCAACGATTTTGAACCATGTCATTCAAGGTCTCTAACCATCGGTTGCTATCGTCTCGCGGATTCCAACCAGGTAGTCTACACCTACCAACATGGTTCAGTCCACTTGTCAGTGACTTCATGGATTTGTGCCATGTCTTGATCTGGGCGCCCATAGTTTGCTTCCAATCTACTCCTACACCATGAAACATCGAACGTTTCACTACTTCATCAATTGATTTGCCATCCTTACCTAGTATCAGTTTCCTAACAACCGCGTTACTTGATGGTCCCAGGATATACAACCAATGTTTCGAAGACACCTATGATCAAATACTAGTAACCTACGAATATCCTCTACTCTTACCGGCCATGTTTCACTGCCATAAAGTAAGACGGAACGAACTGCTGCGCAGTAAACACGTCCTTGGGTTGATAGACGGATATCTCGCCTACGCCATAAATGACGGAAGTTGGAAAAAGCTAGTCGAGCCTTCTGTATCCGTGCTGATATTTCGTCATACACCGGACCACAAGGGCTTATGAAACTCCCAAGATAAGTGAAGCGATCGACACGCTCAATTACTTCACTCCCTATCATTAGTTCGGGTGTCGATGCAACCCAATCCTGAAGCAACATTTTGCATTTCGAGGGAGAGAATCGCATCCCGAACATGTTTGCATTGTTGCTTAGAGTGATCAGAAGGCTGCATTTTGTCAGCATCTTCACCAAATAGAACTATGTCATCACCATATTCTAAGTCAACAAGTGAACCTCCTGGTAGAAGTTCAACCCCTGGAAATTTACATGAGGAAAGTGTCATCTCTAAAAGTACGTCGACCACAAAGTTGAACAAGAATGGAGAGAGTGGACAGCCCTGACGAACACCACTTGAGGTAATCAATTCTGATGACAGTTCGCCATAAGCTCTCACTCGACCAATTGTGTTCGAGTAGAGATCCTTTACAAGATTAATGTACTTCTTTGATACTCCTTTCAGTGACAAACACTGCCATAGAACCTCACGATCAACAGAGTCGAATGCCGCCTTAAGGTCGAAAACCAGCCTGGTTTTCTCTAGTCTGCTCCTCACGAGCTTTGGTTAGACATCAAAGCATTATTGAAGCTAATATTTTAAACACTATGTTGGTCAAACTGATTCCTCTGTGATTGTCACAAGAGGACTTTTCTTCTTTCTTATAGAGTGGTACAACCAGTGATTAAGACAAGTCAGATGGGATTGCGTCCAGTTCCCAGATTCCACCCAAGACCTCAGTTAATCTCACTGCTAATACTGGATCGCCATCCTTAAAAATCTCAGGAGTAAACCTATCAGGGCCTGCTGCTCTCCCTCGCTTCAGATTTTTTATAGCTTTTTCAACGTCGTAAATAGTCGGAAGACCTACATTAACTTGCCATTCAGGTTGACTAGAGATCGTGGGAAACCGAAGTGTGAATGAAGACCAGTTGGACTCATTACTAAAGTGTTCTGGCCATCGATCCAATCTCCTGGATTGAGAATGAATAATATGTCCATCTTTTTCCAAGATAATTTCACTAACAGTTGGGTTCCTAATATCGGTTTCCTCAACAAGTCTGAACAATTGTCTGCTATTACCTATTGCCACTGCCTTTTCCATCACTCTTGCTTTCGCTACACACCACTGCTTGTGATCATTGCGTAGGCTTCTTATCACCCTGAGCTTAAGCTGACTCCGCACTTCGTCATGTTCGGAGCCAGATGGAATGAGTTTTCGAGTATCAATCAGTGCGGTTGGTGCCACTGAGATCCAGTATTTCTCGCCAACCTTACGATTTATCTGACTAGCAGTTATCACTGCTGTTTTCACAGCTTTTTTGATATCATTCCAAGCCGCCTCGAGGCGGGCATCACTTACATGGCTGCCTGATTGTTTTTCTAGTTGTCCCTGAAATGCATTCTTAGTTCGGCTATCATTAAGTAGAACCCTAAGGGATTTTCTTGCAGCGTCTTTCCTACGTCCAGTAAGTCGCAGACAAAGACGCGCTAACACTAGAGCATGATATGAACCTAAGCATGTGTTCCAGAATGAGCGACAGTCTTTTATCGAGCCCCTCCATCGATGGCTGACAACGATGTGATCTAGTTGGGTTCAACGTTGGGACGAACTCATGGGTCGCCATGTCAAAAGATGTTTTTGCCTTATACTTAAAGTTCGTATTTGGAAGAAACAAGCGGTTATCTGAGCACAGCTGCAACAGACGGTCGCCATTATCTGTTGTTTGAGCCAAGACACCATAAGATCCACACAGGTGTCTCTCGTTTTCGCCTAGTTTTCCTACTTGAGCATTCAAATCACCAGTCACTATTACTACGTCAGAACGCCTAACCTTTTGGAGGAGGTCAGAAGACTTTCTTTAAATCTCATATTTTACCTCATCTGAGCTGCAGTCAATGTGAAAGTAGACAGCGACGATAAGTGTCCCTATCTTTCCGAGTCCTTACTGTTCCGTTTAGTCGGACAGTGCACAAGTGGTTTTCTACTGTGATCCAGTCTAAGAAAGCTAGTTCTGCCCTAGGACTCAATGCTATACTTACGCCGGCGAGGCCACGAGAAGTAGCATCAGGGCTTCCAGATACATGGAGTGTGAATCGAGATGGTTCTTTATTGTGATATGGTGAGGTCAAATGAATGACGCTACTCGGATCCTGTATGCGCGTTTCGGAGACGCAGAACACATCGATGGCGCGAGATTCTAAAGTCCTAGCTAAGGAAGCCTCTTGTCCTATTTGGCACAGCGTTTGGTTGTTAAAAGCTGCTACATGTAGTCTAGAGTGTGGCTTCAGAAGACCGGGAATAACGTTCCGCGTACTCGAATCGTTTGCATTAGCGGCGTGAAAAAGATTATTCTTGGAGATGAGAGGGTTATTAGGTGTAGGAAGGATTTGATTGTGACCGACATGGTCTCATGTGTTGTTTTGGGTATGAGGGCTGATATCACTTCCCGGCTGCCTACACCGTGGAAGGGTATTTCTTAAGGAACCTGAAAAGGTTGTTGGATTTATGTTAGCCTTAACTACCTGGGAGCGTTACTTCAGAGCCCAAGGGACAACTACTTGAGGCCGGTCGCGCACAGCCTTTTCGTGGGAGGTTTTTAATGTGTTAGCTCCGTTCTTCAAAGGACCTTACCTCCAGAAACAGAAATCTGTGAGGTAAGGTGAGGTGTGACATTTTTTAGGGTCGACCTTTTTTAGCCCCTTCTTTCCTTGTGAGAAGGCACCATCGCTGTAGATACTGGTTGTCCGAGAGAGACAACTTACTGCTGTCACACCCCTCTACAGTGCGCAGTATGACTTCGCCCTCAGACCTTGAGTTGTTGCTTTTAATCTTACCGTTCTCCAATCGACCTGCCTGGCATGATAGAACATACGGGAACATATGTTCTAGCCAATATAGCTCGCTCGGATCATCACGATAGGCAAGCCCGACCACCGCGTCAATGTAGCAGCTACAGTCGGGCTACTCGATTTTTAAGTACCCATGTTTAATTATTTTTTAAACTACTACTAGACATACGGTTGATATGTATTGTGAATTTTTGGAAGTAAAAGTCCTGGGACAAATCGACTACTGTAAAAGTAGACGCCCCAGATCGTTGGCAAATATTTATTGATCCCGAAAGAATCATTTATTTAATTAGTTCAGAACCTACGTATAAATTAAGCTACATTTTAGATAGTGAAATTTTGTCTTCGTTCCGGTGTGAAAACTCACCACTACCAGTAATCAGAAATTTCCTATATTAGATATCAGACTAAAATAATCAAGTCCATATTCATATTTAAACATTACTAAATAAATTAACCCCTTGAATTGCTGACTTAAAGTTAAAAATAACTACGTATGTAGTGTTTGCATTTTCCAATTAATTAGGATCTCTATTCAGTCCAATTTTGATTGGTAATACTCTCGCTCTGATCCGCAATTTTAATGCTTATAGTTTTTTAGAGGATCATAATGGTCATCAAACTTACACTAATTAAGTTACATGTACTCCAAGTTATATACTTTTCTTGTCATCTTTCTCTTGGTTTTCTTCATCGTTATTCCTAGAAATAAAGTTAAAAAAAATCGTAAAAAAGCTTTTTATGACCATTATATTTACTCGTTATCATCTTCGTGCTTTTCTTGGTCTCTGTCAGCAGTTTGTTTATTTAGTATAAGTTGATCGTCATATAAATGTCGATAGTCTCCAAGAATACCTATTCTTTTTGAAAAGTTTATGTATTACTGATAACATATATACTTTTCATTTTCTTCATGTACATTAGTCTCAGTCATATGTAACCTTTAAAAATAAATATTATTGAACATCGAAAATGTTTATTTCTATGATTACTTTCTTTGCTTATCTTCACATTTGTTCAGGTTAATCTTAGCTATGTTTTCTTCCGCACCAGGCAATATAAGCCTCAAGGCTGGTGAGCACTTACTTTGAAAGTGAAACTGCATAAGAATACAAAATTAGGGATCATACTTTAGCATTGATGCTCGGGGTAATTCTGTCTGATATATCTCGATATTCTTACTATCGAGTTCTCCTTTTTGACCGAAATAGGAAGCTCCTTGTCGCCCAAGAGAATTGAACATTTCTGATCTTGTAAACCTAAAGGCAAAAGCAGTACGGTATTTCAGTTTGACAAAGACACTACCATTTTGCTCGATTTACAATTATGTATGTATCTACATATACAAAAATTTTCGATAAGCTAATATGAACGATGAGCTTGTTTGTTACAATCAACGCTGAACTTTATTTGTGATTGTGGAGAATATTTGTAACCCAAGTGGATGATTTTGACAAAGTTTTGTTCTCGAAACTTAATGGTTTGGATATGGATTTGTTTCTCATTTAGTCTATTAGTGTTTAAATAAACGGAAATACTAAGTATAAATTATGGAGTTAGAATTCCTATGCATTTGATGGCTGATATATGTTGCATCCTAGTGAAGATTAAATTATAGGTAACTTCTGAGAACCATTAATGGACTAATATTATATTTGTTCTTTTTGTGTAACTATTCAGTAACTAAATTACGCATAACTATATTCCTCTTATTATAAGCTTTATTCTGACTTATAGACTATTATGATACGATTTATTATTCTTAAATTATTCTCAGTCTATTAATTACCATCATCCACAACCATAGCCACCTTTTGGCTTGATCTTGTACAAATGTTATTTCCTATTTCATGGTGTGATGTGGTCCGTTTGGCTCGTGTATAAGCCAGGTACGTTTGAAGTAAATGATTCGCGTAGCGGAAGCTGGTATTGGTGTTTTGGACTCAACTGGCAGGGCTAATAGTACAAAGGACCAATAAAGATGCTAGGCTGCTCGTACCGTTCGAACGTCATTGGTTTGGTGCAGTGATAAAACTGTATAAGTCGTATTCTGATTGGCGAATAAATCACGTGATATTTAACGGGGCTTAAAGACACAACAGTATATAGTGGTAAAGGTTAGCTTTCTTCGATGGCCAGCAACTCACTTTCAAGTTTGGAATTCGCTTTCTTTTAGACCAAAATCTACTGTATGCTATCTGAACTGTGAATAACTAAGATTCTACTCGAGGTTATATAGTGATAGTACAGTAATATAAAAAAACACTAACTCCATCAAGAAAGCTCATAAAGTTTATATGTGATACATATATCTAACTTAGTCAAATCGACATTCAAATTGTGATACCTCGAACTCAATATTATTCACAAGTTCATCAGATCGTAGCACGGTTTTCAGTGATACTTTATTTTATTAATCTATGTCTACGTATTGCGTTCAAAGCTCATTCGACCTACTTTATTTCGTATTGAAAACTTTGTACATTAATTTGTTAGTTTTGTTGTTAATGATTCCTTTGATTCATCATTAATTAGGACAGCTTTTAACATGTATTTAGTTTGTCCCATACTTCTTACACTCGTACTTTAATGGTATATAATTAAAACTATTTGTATTAATTACGTACCATCCAATTTGAGCACAGATTTCTTTAAATCTTGTTCGTAGAAATGTTATCCACATACAAAATACAAAAAACCAAAAGAATGTTTCATATAAATTTTGATCTGTTTTTGCAGTTGCAACTGGATCAATTGGTCTAGGGCATATATTATGCATTAGACTTCGTTCAAGTAGTAGAAATTTAGCGTACGCAAGTGAAAAATCATATTTTAATATATCTATTCGTTTATGTAATTCTTCTTGTTCCTTTAACTGGTTGACATTTGGTAATCTAAAATGGTCAAACATTTATTTAAGAAAAAAAATTTGATAATATTAGTAAAATTCGAAATAAAACTTTACAATTTTTCATCGGCAAATTTTTCTTCAAATTTCAATATCTTAAAATAACATTCTAAATATTTTGCCAAACTTATCAATAGTTTGTCACATTCTGAGGACCTAAGTTGAAGAAAAACTAGTTATCAAATAACATAAAAAATATACTTGATCATTTTAGCAAAATGTTGGGAATATTGAAAATGCTTTCCTGAAGCTTTTAGTCTTGTCAAAGCAGCGGCTGTCCTTCCACCAGAAAAATTCAATACTTACATTTTATATCCTTTATAGTTATTGTACGAATTTCATCAACAATTTTCATATGACTCTTTTTGTAAAGATTTCTGATCATCACCGTAAAAATTTATCTAACATTTTACTTTTGTGAATAAATAGACTTTTGTGATTTTTGATCAGTAAATTTGATGAACACAAGTTCATTTTTATCATCGATCCACTCAAATCTTCCTGTTGTCGGCTTTAAAAACCAAAATTATTATATAATTAGAATAAACACACCAAACTTAGTTCACTTTGGAAAGGATTTGCATTGTTCATTGTGTATTTCAATGGTATCTGAAAGAATAGAGATAAAGTGTTTGGTACAACGTTTTAGCTTAATAATATAAATTTGACAAAAATTGTATGAAAACAAAGATTTTTTTAATGATTGTTTAATTTGAGACATGTTTTAGTAACAAACTGACATTAATTGGATAATCATTGTAAATCGAAGATCAACGAACAGCTACTTTGTCCTGGTTTGTGACTCCTTAGGTTAGATGCTGTGTGATCCAGAGTGCATACAACCCAATACCTCTAGCTTATAACAAAAAAGCTGTGCATCACTTTCTAGTTTTCTGTGATCCTTCAGCTTGACATCAGTGTGTGATATAAACTTCCCTTTCCCACCTATCGCAATAAACATAAAATTATTCATAAATTAAAGCTGAAAAAGCTGTTAACCCATAATGTACCAAAAAATATTTTTGTACAATGGTTGTGACTTATTTTACGTAGATATCCACTACTAGTGACTTGCCAGAAATTTTTTATGTACACAACGATTGATCTTACTTTACTTGAGTCGCTTGACCTAAAGTCTGATCTTTTGAGTTCATATAAAACATTAATATCAATTTTATTAGATTATGGACAAAATAATTATCATAAGAACTTGTTTTACCCTAGGATAGTATTAAAGACGGATCATCACACATTTAAAAAATGAACATTACTCCTATCTATATCCCAGGAAAATAAGCTGTGAATTTTCAATAACCGGACTTCTTATTATGGGTGACTGAACTGAATCCCATTATTGTAGTTCTGCACACCTGTACTACTGATTTCTCACCCCTATTGTTATCACAGATTCGCATATCAATTATTATTGTGAATTTCACGTAGATATGTTTATTGTATTTTAGTCAAGCATTTCAGATTGACACTGTTGGTTATGTAATACATATATATGGTAATGATTATTCATGCCGTCAGATTTTCTTCTTGAACCATAACACTTCTGTATATTAGTACGAATAGATTTTGAATGTTGTAACTAATTTAAATGTTTGTAAAATAATGATCTCAAAACATTTGTCTGTTAGAATATTTCAGTGTATTCTGCATATGAGATTTTAAATTACTGGAGCAGTTGAAATATACTTCGAATGTTAATAACTGCAGTGACTTGGTTTATTGTACGCATATATGCTTGTTCTGTGTTTTCCTTTACGTAAACTATTCAAATCAAATGTATTTTATGGGACCCTATTTATATCTGAGAAGAATTAAAAACAGCATATTTTACTATTTCAAGGCAGTTAAACTTCATGCTGATGAAATCAGGAAAAGACAAAAATAAAACATCTCCAGTTGAAAGCAGTCATTAAGTCCTGTTTGTTATTTACTATCAACCAATAAACTTTTACTTTATCTAGGTATATCAATGAGGTTTGGCTCCTGCTAAGTAGCATTATTGTCAGAGAATGTACGTTCACTCAGGTGATAAAATAAGATAGTTATCTTGATTTGCTCACAAAACAATTACAAAGCATACACGAGTGAGTTGAGGCCCAATCCACAGACTCTTTCAAAAGAAAGTTGAATCTAGTGAGATACCATCATTGTTAGGAATAACACAGACCATCAAGCCTCCTGTCTTTTCCAAACTGAAACTGAGTCAACACAAAATTAACTGATGTCTGTAAATTTTGTCTAATACCTCGCTCAGTGTGTATGTACAATGAAGAAAAAGTATGTAAGAAGCCTAAACCCTAATAAGCAACATAGAAAACCTTAATTCCTACTTGATCATAACTCCGCCGGTAGCTCTTCTAGAGTTACTGCCGGTCCCAGGCCAGGGTGAAGGAGGAAGGTTGGGCATAGAGTCGTAAACCCCATCCCGTAGAAAAAAATCTTGCTAAAAAGACACCAACCAGACTAAACAAATTAAACCATCTAAACTCTGCCCTGGGAGTTGAAAGAAGAACTATGACGCTTCACGATAAAAGCCGGGATTCTTCGGAAGTCACAAGACTGATGTCCCTTCTAACAACCAGAGCAACAATTAATATAGGTACGTGGAATGTCCGGTCAATGCAAGACACTGAGAGGACTGATCAAATAACTATGGAAATGAGAAGATACATCTCGACGGTTCCTGGAGTCAGCGAAAACCATCGGACTCAAGTTGTACAGAAAAGATTGGGTACGGGAGAGATGTTGCTGTACTCTGGTCACGAAAATGAACATGCTCCAATTACAGGGAGTTGATCTAATGCTGTTCAAAGTAGCACAAAATGCACTTATAGGATTGGAATCTCACGGATTCAGAATTATCAAAGCATCATTCAAAACAAAGAAGGAGGGGATCACAATGAATATTATCCAGTGTTATGCACCCACCAATAATAGCAACGACGACATTAAAGATCAATTCTACGAGCGGCTGCAGTCAGTCATAGAGAAGTGCCCAAGAAACGACCCCACCATTCTGATGGATGATTTAAATGTCAAAGTCGGAATAGACAACATCCGATATGAAGATATCATGAGACTACATGGACTGGGAGAGAAGAACGGAAATGGGGAAATATTTGCAAATCTGTGTATATACAACAAATTGGTCATGGGCTGCACAATACTTCCACACAAGCATATACACAAGGCTACATGGATCTCACCGGACCACACCACAGAGAACCAGATAGATCATATTTGCATCAATAAAAAATTCTGAAGGACAATGGAAGACGTGAGAACCAGGAGAGAAGCTGACATTGCTTCATATCACCACCTAGTTGTGGCCAATTTAAAGCTGAAGAAGAAGTGGACAACGGGACAGATAACACTACAAAGGTTCAATACAGCCTTCCTTCGAGATACTAATAAAATCAAAGAATTCAAGATAGCTCTCAACTACAGGTTCCAAGCCCTACAGGATCTACTGAAGAAAGAAAAAACCACTATGGAAGACAACTGGAAAGGTATCAAAGAAGCATTAACTTCAACGTGTCAAGAGGTTCTGGGCCTAAAGAAACACCATCATAAGGAGTGGATCTCTATAGGAACTCTAGACGAGATCAAAGAAAGGAAGAACATGAAGGCAGCAATTAACAACAACCGAACACGAGCAGAGAGAGTCCAAGCACAAGCTGAATACACAGAAGCAAACAAGCAAGTGAAGAGGAGCATTAGAGCCGACAAGAAGAAATACGTGGAAGAACTAGCAAAAGCGGCGGAAAAAGCTGCTAGAGAAGAAAATATGAAACAGCTTTATGATATAACGAAGAAACTGGTAGGGCGATATGGTAAAACAGAGAAACCGGCCGAAAACAAAGAACGTAAGTCAGTCGTCGAGATTCAAGAACAGGAAAACAGATAGATAGAATACTTCGAGAAACTCTTGAACAGACCACCTCATTCGAATCCACCGGAAAGCATTTGACAGTGTGGACAGGAAAACATTATGGAAACTGCTTCGACACTATGGGGTTCCTGAGAAGATTGTCAACATTGTATGGAACTCATACGATGGACTACAGTGCAAAGTCGTGCATGGAAGACAGCTGACAGATGCATTCCAAGTAAGTAAAGGAATCAGACAAGGTTGCCTACTTTCTCTTTCTTCTGGTGGTCGACTGGGCTATGAAGACCTCGACATCTAAGAGAAAACGCGGACTACAATCGACAGCTTGCATGAAACTAGACGATTCGGACTTCGCAGATGACCTGGCCATCCTGTCCAATACACACAAAAAATACAAATGAAGACAATTAATGTAGCAGCAGTCCCTGCAATAGTAGACCTCAACAAACAAGGGAAAAATCAAACTCCTCGAACAACATGGAAAACGCCAACCAACCCAACCACACTTGGTAGAAGAACTCTGGAAGAGGCGGAAACTTGCACGTATCTAGTAACGTCATCGATGAACGTGGAGGATCAAATGCAGATGTAGAGTCGAGGATTGATAAAGCAAGGACCGCATTCCTACCGTTGAAGAACACATGGAACTCAGAACAATAACAATATCAAAGTAAGAATCTTCAATGTGAACGTCAAAACAGTCCTACTGTATGTAACGAAACGTGAATAACTACAGCGACCATGATCACGCATGTACAAGTATTATAAACAGTTGTCTACACAAGATACTGTGGGATAGAACAAACCAACTTCCAGCTGATGAGGAAATTAGGAAAAGACGCTGGAAGTGGATGGGACATACATTGAGAAAATCACCGGACTGCGTCATGAGGCAAGCGCTAACTTGGGATCCTGAAGGGAAATGGAAAAGCGGAAAGTCAAAGAACATACTGCGTCGAGAAGTGAAAGCAGACATCAAAAGGATAGACAGCAACTGTATACAAGTGGAAAGAATCGTCCAGGACAGGGTTAGATGGAGAGTGCTGGTGGGCGGTCTGTTCTACTCCACGAGGGATGACAGGCGTAAAGAAAAGTAATGTAAGTAATTTTAGGTTATGCTTCTTCATCTACCTGGTGTAGGTCGTCCTATAGATGTAACGCGTTCAATCATTCATAATTACAATCTATACTGACGATTAACCTTAGCTATTCTCCAAATAAGACTGAAAGCTATGATTTTGTGGTTACTTTTTCTCAGACTAGACAGAAATAAGTGGTTGTCAATCACCTGTGTTCTCCTTCACTACATTTGGTGTCGCTGCCTCCACTAAGGATGAAGATTCCATGGCCGAAAGAATTTGAGGACGGAGATGTGCTGAGCTTCCTGAAGGAGTTTGAGGCCGTGGCAGAGCTGGTGGGAGTGAAGGAGCCGAAGGCGAAGTTGGTGGTGCTGGGGACGCTGTTGAGAGGCAGGGCGAAGGCTGTATATGACAGCTTGGACGGTGCTGGTGGGAAGACGACATGGGAGACAGTTACGGAGCATTTGGCGGCGGAGTTCGACAGCCCAGTGGACAGAGAGGAGGCGCTGCAGAAGTTCCGGTTGGCGAGGTTGCCGGTTGATGGTGACCCACTGGTGCTGGCGGTGGAGCTTACCAGATTGTTACGCCGTGCGCTGCAAAATCTGGATGAGGAGTCGGAGGCA